GAAAATGGTGAGTTTGCAAGCTGAGAGTATCGTGAACACCGTGGCCTTCCCTATGGTTCTCAAAGCCGCCTTCGAGCTTGGCGTCATCGACACCATCGCCGCTGCAGGAAACGGTACGTGGCTCTCACCGTATGAGATAGCGCGTAGTCTCCCAACCAAACCCACCAACCCGGAGGCGCCGGTGTTACTGGACCGGTTGTTGCGCTTACTCGTCAGCCACTCGATCTTGAAGTGCCGTATGATTGAAACCGGAGAGAACGGTCAAACCGGAAAGATCGAGAGGGTATATGCAGTCGAACCGGTTTGCAAGTATTTTTTGAGAGATAGTGATGGATCGGGATCTCTCGTGTCTCTGTTCATGTTGCTCCATACCGAAGTATTTTTCAAGACTTGGTACGTACTTCAAAATTTCTTATAATAAGTCAAATGACATTACATCAGTTAATAACCAACAACTAATTAATCCTAACAATCTAACATACAAAATATCTTCTGTATTATAAACCTATGATAAATAAATAAATGAAGATTTTCTTCACGTACAGGACAAATCTTAAAGATGTGATACTAGAAGGAAGAGATGCATTCAACTCTGCCCACGGCATGAAAATTTTCGAATACATTAATTCGGATGAACAATTCGCTGAGTTGTTTAATCGTGCAATGTCGGAACCTTCCACCATGATCATGAAGAAGGTTCTAGAACTATACAGAGGATTCGAAGATGTAAACACTTTGGTGGATGTTGGAGGAGGAAATGGCACCGTTTTAGGTCTAGTCACTTCCAAGTATCCTCATATCAAAGGTGTTAATTTCGACTTAGCTCAAGTTTTAACCCAAGCTCCTTTTTATCAAGGTACAAAACTACTTGATAAGTTTTATATATTGAAGTGCTAGTTTTAATAGCTACCACTTAAACCTAATTTCTTGTACCTATTAAATCATAGGAGTCGAGCATGTACCTGGAGACATGTTTATAGAAGTTCCAAAGGGAGATGCTGTCTTTATGAAAGTAAGTTTATATAAATATATTTGAAAAGATAAATTTATATCTCCAAAGTTAATTATTATTTTTTTGGGCAATATATATGGTTTATTATTAAAAATGGTAAATTATTGACAGTGGATACTGCATGATTGGACCGACGAACATTGTATAAAGATTCTGAAAAATTGTTGGAAAAGTCTACCTGAAAAAGGGAAAGTTATCATTGTAGAGTTGGTTACACCAAAGGAACCAATGAGTGGTGACTTATCCTCTAACACTGTGTTTGCCATGGATTTGTTGATGTTAACACAATGCTCGGGTGGTAAAGAGCGATCTCTTTCGCAGTTCGAGAATTTAGCGTTTGCGTCTGGCTTTGATCGATGTGAAATCATATGTCTTGCCTATTCGTATTCTGTTATCGAATTTCACAAATAAGATTTGGAATTTACGAAAATGAAACAATGATTGGTTTGTTACATCTGAAATGAAGGGCGCTACAACTTTACATATGTAAAATGAATAAATTATGAGGAGCTTTTTTTATTTTTATTAATGTTTTTTGTTTGCATGTAATATAGTTTTATGGTACTGGCTTGGTCCTTTTGTTTTTATCAAGATTGTGATTGTTTAGTATGAAAGTGTGTTTTGCATTAGGTTTGTAGTTATTGTTTGGATCGCGGGTTTAACAGTCGATTTTAAAACATTGTGTTGATATACATACTTGCAATATACTATTAAATCAGCATATATCTTGAAAAATGAATATGGACATTGTTAGCCTAAGTTTAATGCTCACTTTATTGCATGTAGGCCAACTGGCCTTGGACTTCAGCCATGTGTTTCACATGGTGGATTTGTATCCACCAAGCTTACCCACCCATGAGATTTACCAGCAACGATTAAAACAATGGCAAACCATTAACCTGTTCCCCTAAACCGGCTCTAACCAAAGAAGAACAACAAGTTGACGAAAGAATAGCGAGCTTTGCAAGCAGAGAGCATATTGCGAACTCAACGCTTCTCAAAAACGCCTTGGAGCTTCGTGTCATCGACACTGTGGAAAGACCGAAAGGGTATATAATATATATGCAGCCTTCTGAGCATAAGGATGGTTGGCTGAATTAATCGAACCGAACCAAACTCAAACCTATCCAAACCAAACCAAAGTCTACTTACAATTCGTTCGGTTAAAGCTTTTGTTAAACCCGAATAGTTCGGTTTGGTAACCCAAACTGTTTTTTTTTATTTATAATTAACTAAATAATATAGTAACACTAAACCATGTTAGAATTTCTTTTTGATTTAATAGTTCTTTCATCATAAAATCTCTAATTCTAAGCTACGATTCTATATGTTATAAAGAAAAATCTTCATATCTCATTTCATTTCCCCTATTTTACTTATTATCATTCAAGAATTCCTTTTGTATTCAAGTTTTTTTTTTTTTACAATTATCTTGGTTTTCACCGTACCGATTTTTTTTAATTTAACAATACAATTACACTTTGTAGCTTTATATAAATTAAATATGACTAATCGATGGTAAACCAAACCGAACTAAACCAATCTGAACTGAAACTGAACTGAACTAAGTCGAACCGAACTATACCAAACTAAACCGATCCAAACTAACTTTAGTTTGAGTTTGGCTAGAACTTTCGTATCGAATTAACTGAACCCGAAAATAAACCGAAATACCTACCTCTACTCGGTATGGTTCAGTGTGAAAAAATTAATTCCTAAACTGAACTCCTTGTGAGCGTTTAGTGAATCCTCCATTTTTAATTTGATTGGTTCACCAGTCGGGTTAAGAGTCTAAATAGTATATCCAATTACTCTAAGCAAAATATTTAAAATAAAATAAAATGTTATTCTTAATACTGTCTTTCCAACATATATCCAATTAAAACACACACACTATTTTTGGATTTAAAATTTTATTACTTTAAAATTTAATATTAGTATGACGCTTTTAAATGATTATAGGATCAATCACAAGTTTTTTTTTTTTGGTGGGAAGGATCAATCACAAGTTAGTGCTTCTATAAAATATTTTCCTGAGTGGGTTAGAAGAAAGTGGTATCCTGATTCACGTGGTTTGGTTGACCGGATTTAAATCACCTGAAATATTTTATAATAATCGATCGTAACTGATGGAGTCACGGTTTTATACAAGGGGTGATCGGTAAAGACTAGTTTTATAAGGTGTGATTGGTAAAAATTTTGGAGGCTTAAAGAAAATATTAGACCAACTTATTGGTTGAAGTGTCTTAAACATAAATTAATATTAATGTTTAAAGACATCCTATTTTTTTGATCTAAAATGTCTTTACAGAAACACAAGACATCTTCTTCTTCTTTTTTCTCATCTTTTATTATTTTTATATTTTAAAAACACCCCATTTTTTGACCAATGGAGGTGCTTTTAAAGTCTTTAGAACATCTCCAAAGAAGACCTTAAATCCTCAAATATAAAGTTTTTAGTTCTCCAAAGGCAACCTCAAAACCTCAAATTTTAAGGTTTCATTTTTTTATTTACATTTTGTCCTCACAATTATTTATATCTTATAAATACTTTTACTAATTTATTATTTTATCATACTAGTCCTTAAACTTTTATGGCAATAAACAAAAAATACCTGATTTCAACAATTTTTTATCTTGTAATCTATATATAAAATAAAGAGACACATCTATCTTTTCGAAATTCATTGATTGATCATATAAGGGAACATTACGGAAATACTTAGGTTTACTGATTTGGTAATTTAGCTTTAGTTTATGATTTCGTTTGTATATTTTATTATTATTTTGTGCAATTTTACTTTATAATGTAATATTTTATTAATTAATATCGCTTGTAATATTTTTAATGTATGTTTTATTGTTATTTATAAAAGTTTTATGGTTTTTTGTAATTATAATCAATAGCAAGGATTCTTATGCAAAATACAATTTTTTTGAAGTTAAATTTGAGGTTTTCTTTTGGAGATACACAATCCTAAACCTCAAATTTGAGGTTTGGCAAACCTCAAATTTGAAGTTTCCTTTGGAGATGCTCTTAAAGTCATTATTTTTCCAATCACGCTTTATTCGTTTTAGTTAATTTAAAAGTTTTTAAAGTCATTTCTTTTATTCTTTAATTTCAGTATTTTTTAAAAGTGACGTATTCCTAACTTTTAGTATAAAAATAGTAAAAGCTTATACTAGTTTTTTTATTTCTTTTTCTCCATGAGTATAAAAACTCTCATAAAATTCCCTAAATAATTAATTTTAAAAAAATTTCAGTTGATTTACAATGGAATTTTTTTTCTTGTTTTATTAAGATCCATTTCTCTATATTTTCGATAGTTATTTAAAATCATAATTTCTATAGTCACATGTTTTACCAATCGCTATAAAAAATTTACAGTTAAAGTTCTAACAAAAAACTCTCTACAGGCAAAGTCTTTACAACGAAAGTCTTTAAAGCCAAAAATAACAGTCGTTACCAATTGGCCCCATAATCAATTTTTTTTTTCAGTACAATACTAAGAAATCCCTGCTTTTGTTTTCGCTATGTAATTAAATACCACATTATTACCCCAAAAGAAAAATACGAAACTCATAAGAAATCCCTGCTTTTGTTTTCGCTATGTAATTAAATACCACATTATTACCCCAAAAGAAAAATACGAAACTCATCACAATCCTAAAGCTTTGATTGATACAATAAGATTATTAAGGGAACAAATCGAATCATCCGCAGCTTAGTAATTCTGGAAATAGAGATTATACGACAAAGCACATATAATAGGAACTTCAATGCTAAAAAATGGGTTAGTTTTTTTAAATTAATACATTGGTCTGCTCTCGACATGTGTGTGTGAGATATGTAGAAAGAAAAAGACGAACATATTTTAGAGGTATTTTAAATTTTATCTTTTATGATTTCAATTTAACCAAAGTATGCATTATTCTCGAGGGCTTATTATATGCGTACAAAAATATATTTCATACCCACGACACAAAATCAAAGATTAATTTTTATTTTTTATTAAATATATTTTAGTTCTCAAGATTCACTAAATCATACATATAAAGGAAACTTATGAATGATTACATGAACAATCATGCCCACCTTGTACATTTATACAAACGCAATGAGGATAGTAAGGATCTCGAGTTTCATCTTTGCACTGTTGAGCACCCCGACTTTGAATAGGATTACATAGTTTTCCCGGAAAGAATTCAACAAGTACAGGTGGACGGTCTTCTGCTTCCACTATTTTATATAAACCACAAAATTATTAGATGGTGGATAAATCATCTTAGATAAAAAAAAAATTGATAATGCAAAAAATTACAAAAGAATTCATATCATTTTTTCATAGGTCAATGTTTTCATATTAAGCAGGTGACCAATCAAAATTACATATATATATCACCTTTAGCATTATGCATCACGAAAAACATGAGAACACAAAAAACCACAAACTGAGTAACAGATTTCATGACGCAAAATTAATAAATGATTGTCTATATTTTTTTCTTATATTTTTTTGTGTATATCTTGTACTGAATATTTTTTCTTATCAACATTGTTTATATATATATATATATACATACAACACACACTAAGATATATTTTATTCTTAGTCAAATAAAAGGTAAAAATTTTATATTTGACCAAAATAATTAATTGCCAATTTGAGAGTAATAAATTATAGATTTGACAGGTAATATTTTATAGATAAACACAAAGTTTATGAAACCGTAAATATTTTGATATTATAATATTAAGTATTATTTAAAATTTATTGCCAATTTGAGAGTAATAAATTATAGATTTGACAGGTAAGATTTTATAGATAAACACAAAGTTTATGAAACTGTAAATATTTTGATATTCTAATATTAAGTATTATTTAAAATTTATTTTTAAAAATGAACCAATTCAAAAAGATTGCAAAATATTAATAGTCCTAATTAATTATGCATTGATATTTGAGAAAATTTAATAAAATGGAACAAGAAAAAAGTGTAAAACATATAATATGGGACATAGTGAGTAATAATTAATCCATAATTAAAGCCATCCACGTGTTAATAATAATAATTTATCTTTACTTGCATGTACTGTAATTTTTTTCTCTTCTTGTGCATTTAAATCATCATCAACTTGTTCATAATAAATTGGTTTTAAGAAATTATTAGAAAAAATAAAAAAAATAAAAATATGAAATGGTTTACTTTTATTGGATAATTAATATGATGATGTGAACACTGGAGAGAAGTCCCAAATTATATATATAGATTATGATCCCTTTTGGTTGAAATTTATTAATAGTATCTTTAATAGTTATCATACAAATTTTTTCAGTTTTGATTTTTTTTTTGCCGTCTGAAATTATTATTTATTGCAAATTATGAGAACTGGTTACATAAACGATTCTACAACGGACAATTCCACCACATACCTCTTGGTGTAGAAACATTAATTAACTCTTAGTCACCCAATTGGCCAAAGGGGATTCCACCAATTTTACAATTTTTTTAAGAAATAATCTAAAAATACCATGACATGACATAATTAATCTAAGAAATAATCTAAGTGTCAGTTTTTTTTTTTGTCAACCACAAAGTGTCAGTTTTATTATGATCATATTTTAAAAAAAATTATAATTGTAGTACTTTCCCTTTAATTGTGACATTTTCCTTGAAATATATCCTGATAAAAGCTAGTGTTGTTCATACTAAAGCATACTTAAGAGGTCACTAAAATTTGGTTACGGACTATCTTCTTTTTTATCACATCGCATGTTGTACAAGACTATAGTTGATCGTTTTGTTGAAATTTGTAGTACGCGTAATCAGTGAAATAACTATCTTCGTCAAATATTATTTGTACAAAAAAAAAAAGGATTCTCTACAATACAAATTTTAATTTACAAACATAAACATACATGAAAACAAACAATGCTCTCATCTCTCTAGATATTTTTAATGTTTTAAGATTATGTGACATAATATATGACTACACCTGTAAAAGTAAAACACTCCTTTTACCAAAAAAAAAAAAAAAAAAAAAAAAAGGTAAAACACTCCAAATTCTGGATATATGGTGGTGCATGATGAGCATTTAATAAATTTGGTTTGGCTTTTTATATTTTTAATGCGTACTTATTTTTTTCGATTAAACATCATATCAAAACTGTAGAGTAGTTAACTATGTTTGAACTTAAGCAATTTTTAAATAGATGATTTATCCGATATCGTATGAGTGAAAACGTATTTAAAAAATTACGTGAAAAACGCTTGAAATAGCAAAATATTACATGGTGATTTATAGAATCGATCAAAAAGAAAAGTATCACCTATTAGCGGGAAAATTAAGGTTTTTTTTTTTGTTTTCTCATCTGTAACTCATTTTCTTTTTAGTTTGAACATGAGTAAATGACACTATGACAAAACTATAATAAAATCTGGTTTCGATTCGTTCAGGAAAAAAAAAAATCTGGCTTCGATTTTCTATTTTTTTTTTAACCTTTTCGATGAGAAGAAAAAAATGGAAAGTCTGACCCTCTGACGCATCTTCATTAATTAACTTTATAATTTGTTTGTTTACCCAAAAAAAAAACTCTTAATTTGTATTTGAGTTACTACACGCGTCTCAGTGCATGGCACTAAAGTATTAAGTGTGAATCTCGAAATCAATCTTCTCTGCCTTTGTAATCTATATTAAACCAACAACAACAAGAACAATCGCAAACTATCTACATGAACCATCATCTTTTTGTACATCTCCGTGAAAATAAATTAGTATTAGACATAATCAGTCCACTTGTCTTGGGATTTCTCCTTATAAAACATCACTAACTGTGAAAGTTAAAACCACATCCTCAAACCAACTCTACCTTTGTTATCTATCTTCTTCAATCTTTTAACCAATATCAACAATTATGTTAAAGCATCTTCAAGAGCCCTTAACCACTTACCCAAAACCGGTTTTAACCAAAGAAGAGCAAGAAATCGAGGAGAAAATGGTGAGCTTGCAAGCGGAGAGTATCGTCAACTCTGTGGCTTTCCCCATGGTTCTCAAAGCCGCCTTGGAGCTTGGAGTCATTGATACGATCGCTGCTACTGGCAACGGCACGTGGCTCTCACCGTCTGAGATAGCGGTTAGTCTCCCAACGAAACCCACTAATCCGGAGGCGCCGGTATTACTGGACCGGATGCTGCGATTACTTGTCAGCCACTCGATCTTGAAGTGCCGTATGATTGAAACAAGAGAAAATGGTCAAACCGGAAAGATCGAGAGGGTATATGCAGCTGAACCGATTTGCAAGTTTTTCTTGAAAGATAGTGACGGCTCCGGTTCTCTCTCGTCTTTGCTCTTGTTGCTCCATAGCCAAGTCATTCTCAAAACTTGGTAAGTGCTTCACTATTCAAAGTTCAAACCTATTTACAAAATATACATAGAAGTAGAGTAAATGAACATTTGAAGATATTTTTTGAAAAAATTCCACATATAGGACAAATCTCAAGGATGTGATATTAGAAGGAAAAGATGCATTCAGCTCTGCCCACGACATGAGACTTTTCGAATACATTAGTTCTGATGAACAGTTCGCTGAGTTGTTTCACCGGGCCATGTCGGAATCTTCCACTATGGTCATGAAAAAAGTTCTACAAGTATACAGAGGATTTGAAGATGTTAACACTTTGGTGGATGTCGGAGGAGGATTTGGAACCATATTAGGTCTAGTCACTTCCAAGTATCCTCATATCAAAGGTGTTAATTTCGACTTAGCTCAGGTCTTAACTCATGCTCCTTTTTGCCCAGGTACAAATTAAAACTACTTAGTATATTTGGTGTGCTAGTATTACTAACTAATGTACCTCCTAAATCTTTTGTTTGGTTTGATTAATACTAATGATAGGAGTTGAGCATGTCTCCGGAGACATGTTTATTGAAGTTCCAAAGGGAGATGCCATCTTTATGAAAGTAAGTTTACAAATATATTTGAATAGATAAATTTTAATTGAGTCCATCATTTTTGAAATAAAATGGTTAATTTATTGACAGTGGATACTACATGATTGGGGGGATGAGCATTGTATAAAGATTTTAAAAAATTGTTGGAAAAGTCTACCTGAAAAAGGTAAAGTGATCATTGTAGAGATGATTACACCAATGGAACCAAAGCCTAATGACTTTTCCTCTAACACTGTGTTGGGCATGGACTTGTTGATGTTAACACAATGCTCCGGCGGTAAAGAGCGATCTCTTTCGCAGTTCGAGAATTTAGCGTTTGCGTCAGGCTTTCTTCGATGTGAAATCATATGTCTTGCTTATTCATATTCTGTTATCGAATTCCATAGATAAGATTTGGAATATACAAAACTAAAACAATGATCGGTTTTGATGTATGTCAAATTACAGGTTAAGTTTTCTTTGTCAATATTGTGGTTATTGTTTAGTGTATTATTATTAAGAGATTGTAATAATAATTGTGATAAGTATGAAAGGTGTGTTTGTAATTGAAACATTGCGTCTTATGCTAATTCTTCTGTTTTCATTGTCCGACAACAAATTTTATAATGTTTCTTACTGTAATCTTGATTTTGATTACACCAAAAAGCACGAACTAGTAAATCCCAATTTCGATACATTGCTCGAAAGTAATCAAAAGCAGTAGGATTCATAAGATTCACTCAATTCTGATTTTGATTACAATCATCAAACGATTGTTAGTCATATAAGACAATTTTAGAGACGTTACTTATTATTACAGAGCAGTAGAGCACAACGAGAAACAAGTGTGTTATTCAGATGCTAGACTTGAATACCTCTGAATGAACCAGAGGCTTCCATGACGGGTTTCGAGGAAGAAACGTTTCCTGAAAAAAAAAAAATAAAAAATAAGAGATCACGAAATCAACTTCAAAATATCCAGAATTTTTCGAGTAGATTTTTTTTTTTTTTTTAAATCGTACCGAAACATAGGAGCAGGAAGGGATGACGGAGATGGAGTGAGAAGAGGCGTGTTCGAAAGCGGCGACGCAGAGATGAGAAGCTAAACCTAATCCTCGTTTGGAGGAAGGAACGTAAGTATGAACCAGATCCATCACTTTACCGTTGTTTCTCATCTTGTATTCTATGAAAGCTTCGTGATCCTCCGTCTCGAATCGCCGTTTCCCTTCGTTCCACACTATCTTCGGTGGCTCGGTCGCCATCTTTGCCTCCGTTGTCGCCGCCGTGCTCATCATATGACAAAACCGTAAATAGATGTGAAATCCAAGGAATGTTTCTTTGTCTGATTGTGTGTTTGGGCCTCTTAATGGGCCTGAGCGTGGATCTTTAAAAGTCATACGTTATAATAATTCAGTGTTCGCTTTTACTCAGCCGCTTAAGAACTTGATTCTCCTTAATCTTCCTTATCTTGATAATGTTCGTTCTACACCACTTAACATTATATAATATATGTCTCGATTAAGGTATAACCTAAGGTTTACCCAACCCTTAAACCCATTAACATTTTGGGCTTACTAATCTTAGTGGGCCTAGCCCTTAAACACTTAACAAAACACAAGAACATCTTCTTCTCTTCCTCGCTTTGTCGTTTCTTCTTCTACACCTCTTCACTTCTTTGATTCTCTGGTTTCTTTGCACTCTTACTAATCTCTAGGATTCCTTGATCAATTTTGAGCATTAATCAAGGTCTGATTCCAACAGACAGGAAACAATCACAAGTCCGACATGGAGAACGCGAACGAGAGTAAGCAAAATCAATCCATGTTTGAGCTTTTTCTTCAGCTCATCTTGATTCTGGGTTACCCTAATTGTTTTGTTGTTTTGATGGTGGATAGATTGCCCAGGTCCCGAATCCGAAACTGCTGGAAAGTCAGATTCTTGCGCAGGTTGCCCTAATCAGGAAGCATGTTCCACTGCTCCTAAGGGACCTGACCCAGGTTCGATTCCCTCCTTGTGACAATTGCAACGCATAAAAAATATCTGTTTCAAATACATATGCTAACGTCTGTGTTTGTTTGTTTTTCTTCAGATTTGGTTGCTATAGCTGAAAGAATGGCAACCGTGAAGCACAAGATTCTGGTTTGCTCATGCAAAGGTGGTGTTGGTAAGAGCACTTTCTCAACTCAGCTTTCGTTTGCCCTAGCTGGCATGGTTCATCAAGTAGGCCTCATGGACATAGATATATGCGGCCCAAGCATCCCTACAATGCTAGGCCTCCAAGGGCACGAGATTTACCAGAGCAACTTGGGATGGTCACCGGTTTATGTTGAAGACAACCTCGCTGTCATGTCCATAGGTTTCATGGTTCACCCCTCCGAATCTGATGAGCCTGCCATCTGGAGAGGTCCACGCAAGAACGGTCTCATCAAACAGTTTTTAAAAGACGTTTACTGGGGAGAGATCGATTTCCTTGTGGTTGATTCCCCACCAGGAACCTCAGACGAAAACATCACCATCGTCCAGTCCCTTGCACACACGGGGATCGACGGTGCTATCATTGTCACCACCCCTCAAGAAATCTCCTTGATAGATGTCAGAAAAGGAGTCAACTTTTGCAAGAAAATTGGAGTCCCTGTGCTAGGAGTTGTAGAGAACATGAGCGGTTTATCTCAACCGTTGACGGATATCAAGTTCATGAAGCTGGTAACTGAAACCGGCTCCTCCATCGACGTGACCCAAGACATGATCTCTTGCATAAGAGATAATGCTCCAGAGCTTCTCAATGTCGTGGCTTGCAGTCAAGTTTTTGACAGCAGCGGAGGCGGTGCAGAGAGAATGTGTCAGGAAATGGGAGTGCCGTTTCTTGGGAAAGTTCCTTTGGATCCACAGCTTTGCAGAGCAGCCGAGCAAGGTAAGTCATGCTTTGAGGATAACAAGTGTTCTGTTAGTGCACCCGCGCTTAAGAGCATCATAGAAAAAGTCGTCGCGTCAATAAAGATGAAGGAAGACGTCCTTGGTGGTGAAGAAGAAGACTAGTTCCAAATTTCTATAATTTGCACTAATCTTAATTATTTTAAACTAACATCAAGTTTTTGTGAGATTAAATTTTGATTTTAAAAAATGGATTTTCTAATTTTCTTTTCTTGTTTGATAAAAATAATTTTCTTACGCTTATCTATGCCAGATTTTATTAATTATTGATGACAAATTGTAAACTTCAATAAATTAAATTTCTTTACTTATAAAAGTGATGAAACTTGTAAAAAACGTACATTAGGATTTCAATTTTCCACAAAGCTAACAAAGCAAAACTCTCATGGTGCATAACTTACAAAAAACATGTTTACAAATAAAACCATTCTAGTTTTGGAACTAAACCATCCATCTTCTCTCTGGCTATTGAGCTCACAAGGGAGTAACGTGCGCAGTCTCGTCTAAGAAGAGGCACCCGAATACATAATTGAAGAAATCTCTCCCTTTAACAATACCTTTTCCATCTACGGTTTCCATGTCGTATTTGCAAGCCCGCATGCAATCAGGACAGTATGTAACCTGTATTGCATAGACAATCATGGATAAGAGAACTTGCAATTTCCAAGAGTTTTTTCTGAGGCAAACAAGTATATGTCGGGTAGTTTTAGTAACAAACCTCCAAGATTTTTGGCTCGAAGGAGCTATCGAGCATTACATCTACTCCGTACATTGCTCTAGATTTGGGGGATTGCATCTCTGGATGCGCGAGAGCTGCCGCCTCAAACACTGCCCGTATCACTTGCTTCACCTTCTCATGGATATCCATCCATTTAACTATTGAGAATTGAATTGTGTTATTGATTAATTGAAATGCACAAAGATAAACATATATATGGAGGAAGGAAACCTAAATCTAGTGTATACCATTATGTTCTTGTTCAAATTCTCTCACAAACTCTGCCGTGGGCTTGTGATTCAATTTCCGACCACCATAGTTCTGAAAAGCATAAGAGAATGGACATGGAAAAAAAAAAAGTGAGTTGTTGTTATATAGGATGTTGTAGTCTTCATCAGAACTGAATCTGTAAATCAATATGTGGAAAGAGTGTTCTTAAGAGATACCATGACAGTGAAGTGTGTTTCATATTCAAAGAAACTGTGCTTTTCCAATGAATATGGGTTATTGGACAACCTAACCTGAAATCAAACATATAGGATTGATATATATGAGTAATTAATCGCTTATATTGGCTGTGATGAAGAATAAAAATAAGCATTACCCAAAAAATCTCTGTTAGGTAAATCTCCAGCGGGTCAATACTCCGCACTAGGACAACATATCGCAGATCAAACTTTTTCCCCTTGAACAAAGCGGGGTGCTCTATGTACTTCTGGCAGATCTTGGGACCAGTTTCCATCATGCGGATGATAGCAGATAAATTATCGGTTATACTTGTATCGATTGTCCGTGCCATGTTCCATGGTTTCAAGATCCACAAATTATTCAATTGATCACGTTTGCGGACATAATAGTCCCCAATAAACTGGGACAACTGTGTTTCAAGATTATAAGTAGGCTGCAACCATTTTGGAGATCCATAACCCTGTAAAGCAAAACATAGGGAATTCAGAAACAAGTTACTAACAGACACGGTGCTATGATAATCAAAGGGTGTAATCTGCTGAATTTACCATTTGAATAGTCTCTGCAAGATGATGCTTCATAACAAGACAAGCCTCGAATGGAAACTGATTTAGGTATTGGTCATCTGTTATTCCCACCTCTTTTTTGAGCTCCTCATCCACCTGTACACTCGTCCATAATATGTCTGCATCTTTTGGTTCATTTGCTACAAGCAGGTAAGTGACACAACTCAGAAAACACAAAGAAAATTCTTGACTCGTCTAATGCATTTATGCATGTAATAGCTTTTCCAAAGTAAAACTGAATTTACTCCACAATCTTAAAAACAGAAGATAATTAAAAAGCTGGGGGAGTTGTGGTAAGTTAAAATTAGCGTTGTTTATGCGTAGGATTGCTTAGTATATCCATCCTATATGAGAACCAGGAATATATTACGAAAAAATGGATCAAATCACATACTGATCACAAATTCTGGGCGTGTCAGAAATTCTTCAACTTGAGGTAGATCCGTGTAAACCAGCAAAGGGGACCCATCACTATGCCGTATGCTTCGAGAAACTGAAGGGTTGGTTGGTAATGACTTGAATGCTTTAGCCTGCAGTTTTTGTTGGTATTTCTCAAATTCCTAGGAAATCAATACCAAGGAATCTGTTAATTAACAAAAATCTTTGTAGGAAATGAGAGAAAAGGAAGTGTGTTAATGTACAGAAAGCTAAAGAGGACACCGAGGAAGTACATGAATAAAATAGTTCTCGGGAGTTTGAAACCAGGCTGTGAGCCTGGCAGACCGATGTTTGTCCTCCCCAATACCAGATAGAAAATCACGAGTGCACTCATCACCTTTTTGAGAATTTTTTATAGGCCACATTACCGAATAGCTGGAACATATAAAACCAAATAAACATGGGTATATGTCAGAGACACAAAAAGTAACATTGTAGAAAATATTTGCATACATGGCATGTGAGCCCTGATCAAGAAGCGCATGTCAATCCACATTACACTTTTAAACTATAGCAACATAACCTATTTACAGCACACAGGAACTGAATTTAAAAAGTACGCGGAGCAGTGCCGGAAAAATTGAAAAATTGCTACCTCACAGCAGACTCTAGTTTCCCAGAAGGCATGAAAAGGAATGGAGCCACTTTGAAATTGGGTTCATCGCTATGCCTCAAAGCTGAACCCAATTCATCCATCACATACCTGCGAAAAAGTGATATCATTGCGCCACCCACAGTCATCCATATCCAAAAATTATGTGCCTAAACTACAGACAAGACTATCCATAAACTCTTTGACTCCCACTCTTAATTCCAACCTCTTAAGAATTAGACTAGCATCAAATGTTCATTCCCAATACTATAGAAATTTTGCACATATAAGTACACAAAAGGAGACCTCTCCTAATCAAATCAAAGAAGGCTTGAGAAACAAATCCTAGGGTTAGGGGTGAAAGTACATTTCAAAAGTGATCATTTAACTAGTAAATACAAACAGCCGTGAGTTTTACTTATTATGTCAAACAAATCCACCACACTAATTCTAATACAGCAAAAAAAAAAAAAAAAAGAGAAACATAGCATACCACAAAGAAGTTTCATCAAGCTTTTCCTCATCCGCAAGGCGATAATTCAGTGCATACAACCACATTGCATCAAGAACACGGTCAACAAGAGTACCCTCAGGATTTAGCTCAGGAATGCGTGGTTGAAGCATTGAGTCAATAACATGCTTTCCATTTTCAAATATTTTAGCTGTATCAACGCCATTTAACAAAGAGAGGTTTGAGAGCGATGCAAGAATCTCTAGAGCATTGTTTCCAAGAGGTCCAGGTATGTCAACCTACAAACAAGAAGTAGGACGTCAGCACATCTTTACATAAATATATTTTAGTTAACATTGTACAGCAACCTCAATTTGTATCTGAATAAGTAAGGACAACTTCCAACAATTACTTCTAAGGAAGACAGTGAAGGGAAGAGCTTCAAGACTTCAAGTATTTCTCCAACAGAATTCTGATCCAATGGGTTTCCACGGATATTTAAATGAGACAGTAATGGCATCTCGTGCACAGAGAATGCCTGAAAATGAAGAAAGAAAAGACAGATAAATTAGACACTTAAAATATATTTTGCAAGTTCTATAAGATACAAAATTGAAACATATATGTTCGTCAATGCTTGTAGCCTCTTCAGTCAATAAACTGACCTTATTGACTAGACTATGTATTGACCGGTTTGAAAGGTCAAGTGAGGTGACATTGGACAAGGGTTGATCCTGCTGAACACAAGCAGGATTATCCTTCCCAAAGATATTTCCACAGAAACCAAGTGCCCATAACCCATAATTAGGGGTAAAACACGAGTTGTAGATTTCAAGACTCGGACAACCTTGCAGTATTTCGTCAGCCATCTGACGTTCACTGACAATCACAAAAATACATGAGAAATCTATTATATATCCCCACACATCCGTATGTTTTGTAAATGCATGATTACCTCTTCTGAAGAACAGGATTGTCATTCAGCCACAAAGCCTTCAGATTCTTAAACTTCATAACCTCTTGTATAACCACATCTACACTCTCGATTTTATTCCCGATAAGACTAAGCGCCACTAAATCCTACCCAAAAATAGCAGCAGCACAAAAAAGAAGCTTTAGAATCTAGCATTTGAAGAATCCACGCATAGTATATTATTCAAGTTATCACTGCGAGTCTACGACTTAAAGACATGCCTGAAATTGACTAGGCAAATGCAGGGAGAGCAATGAGTCATCAACAATTCCAAGACCCTCCAACTCCAACCATCGTAAAGAGTCATATCCTTTATCTGCTGCATAACGAATTTCATTGTCTATTATCTGATCAACAGAAACTTCTTCTTCTTCTTCTTCAGTCTCCACATCAATGTCAACACTCATCAGAGAAGCCATCCTCTCAGCCAATCCCGGAATTTCCTTAAGCTGAAGTAACCAAAATAAAATAAAATAAAAGAACCCAGTGAAGTGAGTGAATAACTGTGTAAGAGTGATGAGAGTGGCGTTACCTGCTTATAGGCATCGGGAAGACGAAAAGTCCAGGCGTGATCGACAAGAAAGACGTCAGAATCTTTAGGCATAGATTGGGAAGTGAGGAGAAGCCTCCGTCGGCGACCATCCTCGGAGGATTCGATTTGGAAGTAATCGCCGCCATCAAAAGTATCGGAAGCAAGTTTCTGGAAGAGACGTGAGTAAAGTTTCGACGGCAAACCCGAAGCCGCCAGTAGTATTCCATGTACTTTCACGAAATCATCAAAGCTCTCGATTTTGCTCATTGTTCTCTGCTCCTCTCTCTCTCTCTCTCTCTCAAGGTTTTTGGGGTTCGTTTTTTTAGCTCAGCTGCTTTCGGCGACAGAACAAGAAGAGAGAAGTGGGAGAGTGATAGGGTTTAATTTTGAAAGCAAAATAATAAAAATAAATATGATAATTTGTATTGAACAAGCATCCGAGGTTCTATGGTGTAGTGGTTAGCACTCTGGACTTTGAATCCAGCGACCTGGGTTCGACTCCCGGTAGGACCTCTTTTCTTACACTTATTTTTATTATTTTGAAGAAGATGGTTGCCGGAGTCTTACGAATTTGATCCATAAAACATCATCATCTCGTCTTTGCTTTTATGTTTCATCTATTGCCATTCTCCTTTAAGTAGATTCAAGTCCAAGATTTATCTTTTAATGCCTAGTCTTTCATCCTACTCTTATATACTTATGATGGTGGCTTCTCTTCTTTATAATCTTATGATTCATCACATAGAAACTTACTAAAACAACTTTAAAGATGAAATTTTTAGAAACTTCTTTTATGGAATATCCCTGCAGCATTACACTAGAGATTATCTTTTAAACTACTAAGGATTCAAAATCTGGAAAAAGGAACAAAGTGGTTGTTAAAAACGATCCTTTTAAACCTAAGAGATAGTCTCTTTGCCTACTGCCAAAGTTATGCTAAATTGCTAGATGGATACCGTCTTTACTTCTTGTGAATACTGTTGCAAATCCATTGCGATTCTTCTCAGAACTCCCTCGGTTCGTTGAAACTGGCATTGAAACAGCAGCAGCCGCGGAAGAAGAGGAACACGGAGATGTTTCCTTGGTTGATTTGATTGACTCGGGTTGATTTCTCGCCATGAAAGTTTCGTTCTTGTGAACCTTCCAACTCTCTAGGCTGCTGCTTACACCATTTGCAGCCATTGGAATACTCGGTGTATCGGTTAAGAAATCTTCAAGTGTCGCAAGAGATTGAAGCTGTTTGCCCAATGAAGCAATTGTTTTCTGACAATTCGCAAGTTTCCCTGCAGCTGTTTCTATGTCTTCCTGTAATATATTAATCAATTCTTAGACTTTTAGTGGGAAAAAAAGGATTGTGATGGAACATAGAGCCTAAGTTTACTAAGACCTGAATTTTGGAGACAGACCTGTTTGATCTTGGGTTCTTTATTTTCACTCTTGATTGAGTTCTCTTTATGGAGAGAGATCTCTTCTTCTAGAGCCTCACATTTTCTCCTAAGCTCATCAAAATCAATCCTCTCCTTTCTCATTTCTTCTTCCAAAGATTTGATCTTTGTGGATTTAGTCTTTGCCTCATCTTCCATAGCGATGATTTGAGATTCTACTTCTGCTTTTAGTTCGTTAGCCATTCTTATCTCCGTTTGTATCTCCTCCAACTTCGTCTCAATTTCTTGCAAACAAACTTGAGATTCTTTATACTTATCTTTGATTATGTCAAAAGATATTTGCAGCTCAGCTTTCTCAACCTCCAACTTCTCCAACTTATTTTCCAGCTCCATTTTATCACAAGCAATAGCTTCGAGCTCAAATCTCAATGTGCTCTCCACTTCTCTGTTACATCTAACTTCACATTTGAGCTCATCTTTCTCTGCTTCCAACTTCGATAACTTTTCCTCAAGTTGCTTAATTCGGCAAGTCAATACATCTATTTCAGCAGCCAACCAGTTCTCTACGTGAGCAACAGCCTCTTCTCTGTTACATTTAACTTCACTTTCGAGCTCATCTTTCTCCGCTTCTAACTTCTCCAACTGTTCTTCAAGTTCCTTTGTTCGAGAAGTCAATACTTCTATTTCAGCAGCCAACGAGTTCTCTATGTGAACAACAGCCTCTTCTCTGTTACATTTAAATTCATTTTCGAGCTTATTTTTCTCCGCTTCTAACTTTTCCAACTTCTCTTCAAGTTCCTTAGTTCGAGATGTCAGTACTTCTATTTCAGCAGCCAACGAGTTCTCTACATGAACAACAGCCTCTTCTCTGTTACATTTAACTTCCTTTTCGAGCTCATGTTTCTCAGCTTCTAACTTTTCCAACTTCTCTTCAAGCTCCTTAGTTCGAGAAGTCAATACTTCTATTTCAGCAGCCAACGAGTTCTCTGAATGAACAACAGCCTCTTCTGTAACTGCTTCAGGTCCACTCTTACCGTTCCCATCTGGTGTCTCAGGCAATGCTACAAGACGTTCCATCTCAAGAAAATCACCCATGAGATCAAGTTCAATGGAAGAGGAAGTTCCCTGAAGGCTTCTCTTTTCAATCAATGTGGATGATGCCCATGAATCAGAGCAACTCACATCCATTCGTTCCCCTCCATCAGAATGACTATCTGTAGATCGATGATCGTTAAACGAAGCTGATGACTTAGCCAACATCCGAAGCTTCCTGCACTCAGCCTCAAGTTTCGCCACTTTCTTTATGCTATCTAACTGCTGCTTGCTAGCTGTTTCAGCTGCTTGGGTGCTCAAATCTCTCTCAATCGTTCTGATCTCTAGCTCTTCGCATCGCGCAAGAAGCTCGTGTCTAAGCATCACGTTTTCCTTAGCCACAGATTCCGCCATTTGGCTAAGCTCCTCAGACTTGGTTGCAGTTTCAAGAATCTGGTTCTCAAGGCTGGTTTTAGAAGACTGCAACTCCTGGGTTCTCTCAATCACAGCATCTTGAATTCTCTGTTCTTGTTCATCTCTTGCTTGCCTTAACTGTCTAACACACTCCTTAAGAGCTCCATCGAGATGGCTTACTCTATCTTCCAACACTCTGTTCTTATCATCACCAGCCTCGAGCTTCTCCTTCAACTCAACCACTTCATTTTCAGCTTTCTCCCACCCTTTCACAAAAATAGTATATCTTCACTAACAATTCGCAGATTCATAATAATAAACGCAGAAAAAAGATTGATACCAGCGACAGCTTCTTCTGCGACTTTGACATGTTGCTTCACCAGATCATCTTTAGCACTCACATTAGCAAGAGCAGCTGAAAGTTTCTCGGTTAAAGTCCTCATGCTATCTTTCAAATCTTCATTTTCAGTTTCGACTTCCAAAGAAACCGTTGGTGATTGTTGTATCTCATCATCATCATGAGACTCCATTGTACTCTCAGGCTTGAGCAAAAAATCAGTCATCACAATGATCTTTTAGATACAATTAATAACAAAAAAGAACAAAACTAAGTAGTGTTCTTTATCTTACTTGAATTTCAGAATCCTTCTTCTCGGATAGTGAAGACACAGACTCTTCTGATTCACCAAAGCTTCTCTCAGATGATTCTCTCTTCCGTTTCTCCATTTCTAGCTTCCAAGATCACAACAGTACTGAATCAGCACATAACAGTCAATGATCTGAATGAGAGAGAAAACACACACACACACACACACACATTGGATTCTTTAAAATGCAGAAACTTACATAAACATAGTCAAAGAAGAAAAAACTTTAAGATGAAGAAAACTCAACCAATCAACTAACATGCAAGATAAGAGAAAATCTTGAATAAACCAATCATCTAACTCAAAGTATCCTAAATGATTAAAGAAACTGATTTTGTCTTTATAGTAACAAATGTGCATTAGTTGGTTCCAGATGTCCGTTTCACAATCAAAAACCAACGGCTGAGAAAGCTACAAGACAAAGCTTACAACTTTAAATTTGATGAAACTCATTGCTTGATTCATCTTCAAAATCAAGCATCTTGAGTCATAAAAACAAAGGGAATATCTGAAAAAATTAGTTGAAAATCTACCAAAACCCAAATCTAAGTATAACAAATAACTAGGACAGTAATGCAACAGTGTTAAGTAAGGTCTCAAACTAAACTCCAAAAACAAGCTTCGTCCTAAAATGATTCCAAACATTTCAGAAACACAAAGTGATTTAAGGAGATAAATTAAAAAACGAATAAAGCAAGAGAATATTGTGGAAGAGACCAAATCTTTGGTGAAATAAATACCTTTTGGTAAGAACTTAGAGATCCGAAAATGCCCCAATGGATACAAAAAAAAAGGAAGAAGCTTTCTTCTTCTACTGTCTCTGAAACACTATTACGATTATTAACAGCGACAAGGCAGAGATAGAGTTAGAGAGAGAGAGAGAGAGAGAGAGAGAATTCTCTTTATCTTGTTCTTTGCTATTTTTCTATAATATTTGAAAACAAAATTTGAAAACAAAATTTCTTCTTTAATTCAAAAGATAGAAAGAGAGAGCATGTGATCCTTTGTATGTGGAGCTGTGAACTCAAAAACATTAAAATTTTAACATTTCAGCTTTTTTTTAAGGAATAATTATATATAACGAGATAAAACGTATTTTTGTACTACTTAATTTGAAATTGTTGACATTAATATGAGTTTCAAAACCTAACTTGGTTACAATTCCCGCCCGTGAATACATTATTGACAATAATTTAGGAAAATTAATTACGAATTTAGAAAGCAGCTTTTGAATTTAAGGAAGTTGTAACGGTTTTAATAATAATAATGTGATTAAAGAAGAAGAAGAGCTCACGCGTCTCGCTGACGCTGGTCATTGGGTTCACTGACAAAATCAGTGAGATTCACAATTTATCCAACGGTTGAGATTGCATTCGACTTTCACAAGTACAATATAATTTAATTTATACACTAATTTCAACCTTGATTCATATATTAACTCATCCTACTCTGAATTTTATCTTTTCTTAATTGTTGGTAGTTGGTAAGATTAACTTTATTTTCACTCCAAATTGCCAATTACTAGTCTCTTTCCTTTTGTATTTTTATCCTTTTTTTTTTGTCATCCATTTTGTCTTTTTATCTTGAGTCCCATAAACAACTAAAAAATATTCCCTCTGTTTCATAATATAAATCGTTTTTGCTAAAATCACACCGATTAAAAAAATTTACTTTTTAAAAGTTCAACCAATCATAAAAGAGACGGCATAATATAAATAATTATAAAATATTAAAATAATATATAATTTATATTAAAATTCGAAAACGATTTATATTATATACTATGAAACAAATTTTTTTATCGACGACGCTATGAAACGGACAGAGTATATATGGCTTAATGACAAACTAATTATGACTTGGTTTGATAAAGGCCCATTAAGCTGCATAGACTTCAGAGTCCCAAAGCCTAAAGATTATTGAGACCCATATCTTTCTTTTTTTCTGTCTCGTCACAGTTCACACACAAATTACACGAAAAGACATATATTCTTAGAATTAAGTTTGTGCATCTGTTGTGTCTTTTCTAATGCATTGGGACGTTAAAAAAACAAAGTAGAGGAAGAAGAAAAGTTTAGGCATATAACTTGGTGAGCTCTTCGGAGAATTCCCTCCTAATTACATCTCTTTTAAGCTTTAAAGCTGCTGTGACTAAGCCCGACTCTGGCGTCCAGGGAGATGCCAACAATTTGATCTTTGCTGGTATCTCAAACTTCTCCAATCGTGATTGTTTAGCCGCCTGCATAACACATATATTTTAAGGATCTGACTGGGGACTCGAATCGCTCAGTAATGCGTAGCAATGAACATACCTTGACAAGAGACGCATACACTTCTTTCACGGCTTGTTCTTTCGCGCACAATTCTTCGAAGTTGGCAAAGTCTATTCCTTGCTTTGAAGCCCAACCTTCAACTGTATGTTGGGACGCAACCACAAGAGCCACACAGTAACTGTAGAATGAATCAGCATGAACCATTATGTTTTCAACATAGGGACTTATACTGAGAGCAGCTTCAACCTGCCAAAAAAAGAATGTTAATAAGCTTCTCCGGAGAATTGAGTGATGAAGAAAAAAAAGGGAATTCGGATTGAGAAAACTATACTTTGCCCAAGGAGACATATTCTCCGTGCTGAAGTTTAACGATATCCTTTTTTCGGTCTATTATCTCGAGGCAGCCATCAGGGTGAAATCGTCCTATGTCTCCTGTGTAGAACCACCTCATTCCCTTTTCATCAACCTTTGAACATTCAAGTGTATAAAACGGTTAGAGGAAGAACCAAACCAACCAATTCTTTTAACATTGCCGAAACCAATAATATTGATTTGCCACCTTGTACACTTCTTTAGTTTTCTCCTCATTTTTGAAATACCCAAGCGTGATATTTGAGCCACCAATTACAATTTCACCACGGGGCATCGGCTTATCACTGGTTAGATACCCACCTTCGGGCCAGTCTACTAGCTGAAACCAGATATAATAAGCATATGATCATAAGAGACTACGACATACAAACTGATAAACCATTAATAACTAACAAAGCATTAAAAATGGACAAATCAGGTAAAGAGGTCACCTTTACAAAGGAGCAAGGAAGTGGAGCCCCAACACGGCCAACGGATGTGTCCTCAAACTCCGAGAAGGTTCCACCAGCACAAGTCTCTGTGAGCCCATATCCCTGACCGATTGGAGCCCTGAGGAATATCAGTGTTAGATCATAGAAATGGCAAAGGGACGAAAAGATAGATTCGCCACCCTAAGATTGGAGAGTAGTGAGCCTCAAGGAGATATTCAGGGATTTTTTTACCCAACACATATGTTAATGAATCTCTGAGTGTCACCAGAAAGAGGGGCACCACCAGAGAGCAAATAGCGGATTTGACCTCCCAACACAGCACGGATTTTCCTGAACACAAGCACATCCCACAAAAGCTTTTCCAATCCCCAGGCTCCAAACCAACTTCCATTGATTGCAGATAATCGCCGAGCATATGCAAAGTCAAACAATATCTTTGACAATCCGCCCTTTGCATCAACCTGATGGTCATAAAGTGTCAGTGCTTATACAATTATAAGGTTTACTCACAAGCAAATGAAGACAATTTAGCACATCTTGGTTGCTCCGAGATAGCCGGAATCATGAAACAGCTAGGAGACCACAAGCTCAACTGCTTTAACAGAGGATAGCCAACCAAAGAATTTCGATGTGTATCTAAGATGCACAAACCTTTTTGCGGACACCATCCCTGACACGGTCAAGAATGGCTGGAACAGCTGTCATTATAGTGGGCTTTAGTGCTGTGACATCTCCTTTTGTACCCTTTTTTATCTTGTTTGAAGTATCCGTGAGCGTCAAGGGAGACCCATATCCAATAGAACTCCCAATAGTAGCCATTACACTCTACAACAATGATATCAGGCCGCATTCAAATTTTCTGAAAGTGGAACTGCTAAATAAACGCATTTAGCAATAAATTTTTAAGATACCTCAGCTGCTAACTCAAGGATGTGAGCCAAAGGTAAATATGCCATGTATATATCCCTCTTTCCAAGGTCTGGAACAATTGTCATCACTGCCGAAACTGTAGCTAGGACATTACCATGTGTCATCATAACACCCTACACAATTTAGGAAGTGGGAAAGTCAGATTGAGTAAATTTTGCAGAACCAATAACAAATAGCTGATACGACAATTTTGATAACCATAGACAAAATTCTTATTCTGAGACAACAGATGTACACGTAAACTGGTTTCGAAAACCTTCTAACCTTGGGAAGTCCAGTGCTTCCACTGGTGTACATTATAACAGCAACATCTGCTGAGAGAGGAAAATTAGGGTCTACAGGGTTTTCGCGGCCAAGTTTCTGAACATCAGCAAATGAAGTCGCCATCCAATTACTGTTCAAATCAGATGGGAATTCATCATCCATGCATATCACACGTTTAACAGTTTCAAGCTGTTGGCCTATGTCCATGAGCTTTTTGAGTTCTTTGCTACCACATATTACGGTTGTAACCTCTGTCTGGAAAGTGAAAGAAAGGGAATCATGAACATATGAAAGGAAAGCATACACAAATATGAAAAATACTTAACCACAGGATAACATAAAGCTCACTCCAACCTATGCGAATATCATACCGTACTGTATGTCCAAATAAACTAGAGATAATTAGAGCATAAACAGCCACAGAGCATATACCGCATGGATTTATGCCGCCATAGCAGAGAGAAAGCAGAGAAGAGAAGCAAGGGCTACCTCATTCAGCGAGTGACAAAGAGCTTCCTCTCCCAAAGATGAATAGATAGTTACCACAGTGACATTTCGCCTGAAGCAACCCTGTAACATTGAATCACACAGAAATTTCATAACCGTACCAACAGTCCATCCGGATTATAAATGAGAGAAAACAGGAAAAGGTATTAAAAAATGGAAAATCACCTGTAGGGAGATGAACCATTCTTCTCTAGTATCTGCAAAAATGGCGACACGTTCTTCCGTCTTGTGTCCAATCTGAACCAGCCCAGAGGCAAAATCACACACAGCTTCGAGTGTCTTCCCAAAAGTAAGCCACTCGTAGTCACCCAAATGAAGTTTCTCAAAAGTTTTTCCATCCTGACTAGTCTCAATCTCTCTAGAGATGAGCTTCCGGGTGCCAAGGAAAACCCTATCACTGTGAGCTTTACAGGAAATCTCAAAGAGCTCTGGAAGCGTTGAGATATGTTCCCAATGGGAACTAACAGGATCAGTGAACCTGTGATTCCTAATGGCATAACCTGGTTCACCACCAACATCAACAACAACACCTCTTTTCTTTTCTTTCTTAGATTTCTGAACCCAGAACGTTAAAGCCAAAGGCACAATAACACCAGCTGCATAAGGAATCATCTTACTAAACCCCCCAAACAAAGAATTATATGGCTAATAAAACACCTCCACCTCCTGCAACCAAAACCCCATCACAACATTATTAACATAATCAATTTCACTAAAACCAACTTTAATACAGGCGATAGCTGTATTGTATTACAGAGAAGAGCTACACGAAATAGACTCAAGTAAATCACATTCGTTAAGTAGAACTCTCTCGAGAACTAAGTGTATTACATTTCGTTTGATCCGCGGAGAAAATTGAGTTCAACTATCAAAAGATCTGAGAAACTTCCATGAAACAAACATTCGAAGAATGCAATCGGGAATGTGAAGCATAATAAGAAAGAGAGGAGAATGGAATTTACCGTGATCGAAGCAAAACGGAACTGGAGAAGACGTCGTCGAGAGAGAGGCTCCAATATAAGAGAGAACAGTGAAGGGTATAAAGGTCTTTTAGCGGAGACGTCGAGACTCGAGAGGACTGTGGAGGCGGAAAGACGAAACGAAATTAGTTTT